GTAAGAACTGATGCAAAGTGAAATGAGAAAAACTAACAGCAGAGTTGTAATGATGATCAATTGTGAATGACTTCGCTCCTCTGATAGATACAGTGAACCAACACAGTTCCAAAGGACTCATGATGAAACATGCTGTCTACCTCCTGAGAGAGAGCTGATGAACTCTGCAAATTGAAGTATAATTTCCTCATATTGTTCTTCTTGCCTTTTTTGAAATATGGCTACTATGGAAATACATCCTATGTGATTTCACATGTATAATTAATGTTATATTGCTTACCTTCTCAGTGGGTGGGAGAAGGGCTGGGAGAGAGTGAAAAAATTGGAACTCAAAAGTTAAAAAGATAAGAATGTTTAAAATAAATTTAAAATATTTTTTAAAAAACCAAACAAATAAAGCTATCCTATCAAATGACAGCAATCCTAATAAAATTAGAGTAAGAAACATGATTTTAGATTTCATAGTAGTTGCTAAATAAATACTTGATGACTGACCAAAAAAAATTATTCCTGCCCTCAAGAAATGGGCACCTAAGTGGCACGGTGGATAGAGGCCCAAGCCTGGAGTTAGGAAAACCTGAGTTTAAATCTGGAACATTTACTAGCTGTGTGACCCTGAGCAAGTCACTTAATCCTGTTTGCCTCAGTCTCCTCATCTATAAATTGAGCTGGAGAAAGAAATGGCAAAGTGTTCCAGTATCTTTGCCAAGAAAACCCCAAATGGGGTCACAAAGAGTCAATCACAACTGAAACAACTGAACAACAACCTCAAGAAACACATTCAACTGGAAACAGCATTCAAGCAACCACACACACATACACACGTTATAGACAGTGAAAATAGGAATTATTCTCAGAAGATACTAATAGCGTTGGAGAATGAGGGGAATTAGAAATGACTTCTTGGATAAGATGAGATTTGAGCCGAGCTTTGAGGAAAAACCAGTGAAGTCAGGAGGTGGCAGTGGGGAGTGAGAGCATTCCAGACATGGAGAACAGCCAGTGAAAAGCTTCAGAGTCAGGACTGCTAGACTGTCATGTTCAAGGAGCAAGAAGAAGGCTGGTGTTGTTGGATTGTGGTGTACATGTAGAGTGTATGAAAACTAGAAAGACAGGGAAAGGTCAGGTTTGGAGGATTTTATACTAAAAAAGCAGGAAGGGGCCCAAGTTGAAAGGCTTTAAAATGCCAGAGGATTTTATGTTTGATCCTGGAGGTAATAAGGAGCTGCTGAAACTTGTTGAGGAGTAGCATGATGTGATCATATCTGCTCTTTAGGAATATCAGTTTAGCAGCAGAATGCAGGATGGATGTGCAGGAGGAGAGATTTGAGGCAGGGAGACCAATGAGAAGGCTATTTCCTTAGTCCAGGCATGGGATGATGAAGGCCTCCATGGAGTGGGCAGCTGTGTGATTGGAGAGAAGGGAATATATGAAGACATGTGAAAGTAAAAAGTGCAAGACTTGGCAATGCATCTCAGTGTTCCTGTTAGATTGTGAAATCCTTAAGGACAGAGATGGTGATTTTTTTTTGTTTTTTTAGAGACAATGTATAGTATTTAGAGACAATGTATAATGTTTAGAGACAGTGTTTTTAGAGACAATGTTTAGAGACAATGTATAATGTTTTTAGAGACAATATTAATAGTAGAAACTACTATTAACAATAGTTTAAATACATCAAAATATTTTAATATTAATGTTATTTTAAATTTCAAATTCTCTTTCTCTCTCATCCCCCTCTCCTCACATTGAGAAGGCAAGAAAAACAAAATCCATTGCAAATACATATAATCAAGCAAATCAAATTCCTGAAATTCAGCATAACATAACAGTTTTATGACATAACTTTCACTGGATGGAATCAACAGGTGAATGAATCTGCATTCATTCTCGCTACCAAGTGCAGGGGATGTTCAAAGGTTTCATAATTTGATTGGATTAAAGAGGTGTGGATGAAGGCAGCTATTCCTTATGGCTAGCATATATGGACTTGTTGAGCCTGCTTTGAGGGCTGGCTATAGACAGAAATAAAAAGTTCAGTGTTTAAATTGAGCTGGTGTCTAAGCGAATCTTTCCTTGTTTATTCATTTTAGCTTATATCTGTTCACTTGAAGATTCTTTCTAATGATGGTTGTAAATTCTCAATTGCTCTAGAGAAATGTCATATTTAATTTCTCCCAATTTAAATATGTTAGTCTTCAGACTGTACTCAAAGCCTGAGATGAATCCATGTACCTTACTTTTTTTATTTCTGAAAATCTGTATCTGTCTGAACTCCTGTGAGCTGGGTGGGTAAGAAATGGCAAATAGAGAGGACTCGAGAAACACTTTGTGCAATCAAGAAAAAGAAAAAAGAAAAAAAATCAAGGGTAGGTTGAGGGAAGTAGAAATTTTTATTATTTTTCTACTTCTTTCTATCCCGCCTACTCTGCAGTGGCAATGGAAGAAGGAAAAAGGTTCAACAGGGTCACTTTTCTGTGTCTGAAGATTTACTGTACCTCTGGCCTATGAAAAACAAAGTATATAATAAAATGGTGTGATTATTAAGTTGAGTTGGTGTCTAATTAAATCTTAACTCTCCAGAGACTCTGACATCAGAACCTATCAGGAGAGATGTAGTCACCAGCACCTCACTAGTTTTATATTTTATTGTGATGTTGTCAAGGCTCAAACTAGGCTTAGCAAGGCCATGTGTCAGAAATAAGGGATTTTATGGAAGGATCAGGTTTAATCAGGAAGATAAAAAGTTAGGATGTGCTGAGTTTGAGCTGCCATTTACAGGTAAACATGTCCAGTAGGCAGTTGGATATGTAGCACTGGAACTCAAGGGAGAGATCAGGGTGATAAGCTATATTTGCTTATATTTGACTTATTTGCATAGAGAGATAATTGTGATTTCATCAGTGTAAATACTCCCACCACCAATGCACAATCCTTCAGTGCCTGTAATGGTCCTAATGTGTCCAAAATAATGATAATGATTAATAGTAATAGTAATAATGATAATAATTATGTGTTCAACCTCATGTTGAGCCTCTCTAAAGTTAGGCAGTTAAAAGATAGGCCAAGTGTCCCAAAAATCTTACTGTAGTTTTTGGTTTTAATTAGTATGATATTAAACTTTAATTGCTTTACCACTGCAACTGTACTGAAAGCCTTTTTAAGATTGGTATAACTAACTATGTCTTGCATTCCACTGGCATAGCTTAAAACAAAACAAAACAAACAAATAAAAGAACAACAGAGTCATCTCTACCCCACAATGAAGTAACACAATAGAATCTAGTAGAAATACCTATGTATTATAGATTAATGGAAGTTTATTATAGAGATCTTCTTTAGATTTTTAACCAAGTTATTTACCATGTCTCATTTATTTTGTTTATCATCCATAGCCAATAGTTAGCAATCTCCATTTTTATCCAGGAATATCTTCATGTTATAGAATTACAAAAACAGTACTTTATTACTCATTCCTTTTGCCACAAATCTAAGTTCACAGTTGGGTAATGCTATTTTCTCATCATTAACTTTGCTTTTATCAAAAGTAGGGAAATGGATTTGCTTTCCGAATATATGATCTTATTCACATAGTTGCAGAAGTAAAAAGATTTACTTTATTCAGTTTTATTATGATGAGTTCTATGTCTTAAGTGACAGAATTCGAGAAAAGGTACCATAGTAGATATAATTGTAGGTCCCATTTTGTTAGAATTGAGACAGGAAAGATTTCTGTGGCATATTTTCAAAATATAAAGATTCAAGTGTTTTCATGGAAGATGCAAAACTCATTTTTATAAACTAATAGTAAATTCAGCATTTTTTACTTGGTGACTTTTTCATATGTATTTTATCTTGTTTATGGATATTCTACTTCCTCTTGTAAAATATAGTATTTTGATCTGTGATCTTTCCTTCAAGCTGTGCTCACTCTCACATAGCTTGTGATCTGAACTACTTAGAAGTAATATTTGATAAACTATCTTGTGATGGAAGTGATTTTTTTAGGACATGTATTTACAATTAGGTCTCTGTCACGCAAGCCTGCAAATAAGCTGAAATAGATTTGTGTGAAATAAAGAAAAGATGCTACTAATTAAAAGATAAGCCAAGAAAACATGTTATTTTCTTACAATGATTTGGAAAGCCAGATGTCGCCAGACTTATTTCATTCCCGTGAGAGCATATTGGGAAATTAACTGCAAGACATTAATATATTAATAATGCATTATCTTTTCTTTTACATAAGAATTTTAAAAATAACTTCTTACAAAACAGTGCAGTAGAAATGGTTCAAAATATATTTTAAAAGAATAAAGCATGTTTTCTAAGGAGGCCCCAAGAAAAAGGTGGGAAAAATGTTCAAGATTCAAAGGTCTTCCCAGAAGATTCGTGTTATGTATAAAACAACAACTTTTTTTATTCTTACATGGAAAAAATATTAAGGAAATACTCAATAGCTGAATCTTAACTCTAATTACCACCTTTACTTGAACTGAACATACCGTTACTCTGAGTTTGTGAAAATATAATAAATACCTTCAAATGTTTGTTACTAATAAACTTCTAAAACTAATATTATTCATTGCCCAGCTTTATTTGCTTGCTCAATAGGTTTTTACTACAGCTGGAGAGTCAAATTACTTTTAATGAATATCAAGTAAACTTTTAGTTATTTTGGACTATTCATTAAATCATAATTGAGTTATACATCTAGAGGGCTTCATTTTCACTTTTGAATACTTTTGACATAATTAAGTAATACATTTTTATTTCTAATAGACTAATAACTCCATAATGATCTTTTCAAAGTGTTTTTTCTTAATGTTACTTTTTCTCCTTGATCATGCCATCTGACAGTTCACAACAAATATAAAAACTAATCTCATTGAACCACAGAAGATGCCATGTGGTTTAACATTGCCTTCTCTGAGCATAAATCTAATACCAGACAAGATTAAATCTTTATTTTAAGAAAATTTCTGTTATTTTATTTTAGATGGGGTACCCAAGGAGATTTTACCACTACTCATCCTCGACCTGTGGTTAAAGTAAAGCTCTTCACTGAAAGTACAGGAGTTCTAGCCCTTGAAGATAAGGAATTAGGAAGGGTGAGTTATGATCAGCTTTGCAAAATTAAAATGTTATAACTATTCATAATGTCACGAAGCATCTAGTTGTCCTTTGTGAAAATAAAATATTTACCCAAACTGGATGATGGCTGAAAAAATTGTTATATAAATATAATGGCATAGTTCTATACTGTTAAGGAATGACAGATGAAGAATTCAAAGAAACGTGAAGATCTACATGAAGTGATGCAAAACAAGAAAATCATAGACAAGGGAACAATATACATAATGATCACTACAGTTTCAGTAATGTCAGCATAGCTTATTAACTCTCACCAAATAAAATGTTGAATGTTCATAGCATACTCCCAAACTTAAAGCACACATCTCTCCTTTAAGTTAATAATAAATTAACCAATTTAATCATCTAAGTGGATTTGTTTGGGTATTTGGCAAGACAAAATGTCAGTTTATTTTTTAAAATGAAGTTAAAGTTATGAACTATGTGGGGTATAAGTTTGGATGAGTAACCATAGTTCCTCTTTAGAAAGTGAGAAAAGATGGGTAGTCTTAGTCAGTTTCCATGGCCATAGAATGCCTCTTTAAGCCATCTCACAAATTTGACTGGATGAAAGAATGTGAATGATCCAACCCAAGCAAACACCTTGCCTCTATCATAGAAACAATTCAGATCTTATAAACACACTCTTCCTATGTGAAAGTCAGCATACAGGAGAGTATTCTTTCTTTTTTTTTCTTGTGAGAAGAGTATTTACAGGAGGGTTCTTAAGCACTTCATTTCTCTGCTTATAAAAATACACTTCAATCACAATTTAACAATGATTTAATATATATTATTAACTTATTTTCATAGAAATATGAAAATAAGTTAATAATATGTTTCCTGTTTCTTCATTCTTGACATATTACTCTTTAATTCCCAATATCTATTTCTCTTCTTATCCTTCTGTTTTGACAAGATTAAAATTACAGTGGGTTTTCTGAGCCAAGATCACCTTGTCTGATGTATAGTCTAATAACTTTATGTGAAATAGATGTATTCCAATAAGCGTTTGCAAGTCTCTTTGAAGTAAATCTTGCTTTCTATTGTTTTCTATTACTTAAACTTATTCTTTTCTGGATCTGTTATTTTTGGTTTAGATTGGTTATAGATGCTTTCTTATTCTACTTCACTATTAAAACAAAAAAAAAGAATATTGTTCTACAGGGGAAAAATCTCCCAGTAATGAATTCATTCATTCAGTTTGAGTACCTCAATATATCCTGCTTTTGCAAGTTACTACCTGCATGACCTTGGACAAGTTACTTAATATTTTTGGGCCTCCTACATCTGTAAAATAATGGGGTTGAAAATAGCATCTATGATATATAAGGTTGTGTCTGGCTTGAAAATCTATGATACTATGATCATCACTCAACTCAAATTTATTGGGACTTTACTATGTTAACTTTTATAGTCCAAACTGATAACTTTTGATGGGGATGGCATTGAGTTAATGATATTCATTGCTGTGCTCCAGTATTATAGAACACCAACAATACAGTGTCTGCTGGGAATACTTTCTATAATTTTTTGGCTCCGGATTTCTCCTCCTTCCTTCTTATAGACCAGGAATTACTGATACTTCATTCCAACTCCAGAACACAGGTTTCCCCTTTCTTCTCTTTTTGTCCAGGTGTTTATCTTAGTAATAGAGCTATATCACATTAAACTAGTAAGTGTTCCTGTCTGACATGACAACTTGAAAATTCTTGAATTTTAGCCTTCAGGTTATATGAGATGAAATTGAGCCTTGCTGGGTCAATTACATAAATTTCAAATTCGGTAAATTTACCTATTAAAAACTATCTGTATTATCTGGATGCTTCCAGCTCCCTGGGTGCTGTTCTCATTATTACCAGAAGAGAAACTTCAGACCCAGTCTTCCTTATTCAGTACTTCAGTCAAAATAAGGAGAGTATGTATCTCATATACAGTCAGTCTGCAATTCTAAATTCCTACAAGTCTATAGTTGATAAATAAAGAATTTATTTTGAAGTTCCTGAAATAAATAGGTTCCTAGGTCATATTTTATCAAAAACGTTGTGTTTGAAAGTAAAAAGCAAACTGGCATGTCATATTTACATCTATTAAAAAAGTTATGATGAATAAGTCTGTAGCACAAGTTCTGAGGCCACAATTCATGTCTTTAGAGAAAAGTAATAACATGAGTTATGTTTTTTCCTGACCCTGAGCTATATTAATAGATATTTTCCTTTTAAATCTAATTTTTTTGTCATTAAAATGAATTTCATTCATTTTTGCTGACACTGAATCATGAAGGGGAAAACACTTAACTGCTTTTTTTAAATGAAAAACAGTGTTCAGTGATATATTATTTTCTCCTGAATGACACCTACCAGTGCAAGATTTGTCCTCCAACAGTAGAGAAAACTTAACAGATTGCTCATTCCTCCTTCGAAGAGATTGTTGCTTTTTAATAGAAAAGCCATCAGTTTTCAAATGTCACCAAGCCAATGTCTGGAGGGGTTTATTTGGCCCATTGGGGCAGGCACAAAGAAAATGAACTCTTAGCTCTCCCACTGACTAGATGGGGTGATCTTGGACTAGTCATTTTAAATTCTTTCAGTCTTTTTTTTTTAGACAATGGGATTAAGTGACTTGCCCAGGGTCACACAGCCAGTAAGTGTCCAGGATCTGGTCTGAGACCGGATTTGAATTCAGGTCTTCCTGACTCCAGGGCCAGTGCTCTATCCACTGTGCCATCTAGCTGCCTCTCTCAATCTTTTCATGTAGATAATCTCTTCCAACTCTACATTCCACAAGTCTCTGTATTTGTCATTAACATATTATTGAAAACCTAGTATCCTGCTGATTGGAACAATAAGAGAAAGGGAGAATTTTACAATGATGCTGATCTACAGGGTTTAAAGTCTCAATACATACAATAAAATTCCATGCCTTTCCATTCTTTTTCCCTTGGTACAAAACAGTAAGTGATTTGGATCCTACTTTTGGCCTTAAAGGCCTATTTGTATTTGAACAGAAGTTTTCTCTAAAACACACCTGGTAAGTAGTTGTCTGGTCCCTGTCTAGTCTTTCTGCAAAGACCTCCAGTGAAGGGAATCCGGGATGAGGCAATCCTTTTCATTTTTTTTAAGAGAGATTTAATTGTTAGGAAGTTTTCATTGCATCGGGCCTTATTTTACTTCTTTGACATTACAGCCTCTGAATTCTAGTTTGCTGCCTGAGGCCAAGGAGAAAATGTCTAATCCCTCTCTTATGTGATTGCCCTTTAAATACTTGAAAACTGCCCTCAAAGCCTTTTTACTCCAGACTGAAAAATCATGGATCGTTTAATCAATTTACATATGACAGAATCTTAAAGCCTTTCACCCTCCTAGTTGTTCTTTTCTTGATACATTCTAGCTTATCAATTTTTCCTTAAATGTGATGCCTAGAACTGAACACAATACTCCAGGTACAGTCTGATGCTGGTCTCTCTGCCTCACTCCAAAGTCTCATCAGTTAACTGCCTTTTCAGTTCTAGGAGAAAGAACCATGCATGATAGGACATGGCAACCCAGATGATAAGTCAAGCAATATTTTGGAAGCGGCATTTAGGTGGTACAGTGGGCCTAGAATCAGGAAGACTCATCTTCCTAAGTTCAAATCTGGACTCAGATAAGTACTCGCTGTGTGACCCTGGGCAAGTCACTTAATCCTGTTTGCTTCAGTTTCCTCATCTGTAAAATGAGTTCGAGAAGGAAATGGCAAACCACTCCAGTATCTTTGCCAAGAAAACCCCAAAAGGGGTCATAAAGAGTCAGATATGACTGAAATGACTGAGCAATATCAGTTGATCTCTGGATGTTATTATGACCTATTATTGACCATATTCCATTGCTATCACTGGCAGTTGCTGTTCTGAGGTGTGAGTTGGAAAGCTTGCTTACCAATATTACCACAGTATTTGATGTACCTCATTTTTTAAAATTTTTGATAATAGGCTATAATATTTATTAAACTAAATGAATGTTCTGATTTGTTGTGTACTATAAATGACTATTATCAGTAACCTATAATCAGTAAATCAGTGAATAACTATTATCAGTAAAGTCTGAAGTCAGGACTAATTTTTAAGGACTGTATTTAAAAAATAGAAAAGTAATACTGGATTCGTACTTCTTTACTAAATATAGAGGTAAGAAAAATATTAGCAGTAGAAATGTAGAGGTGAAAAGAAAGGAAGATAAATAAGTAGAAGGAAACGAGTATTAAATGCAACATATTGCTAGCTTTAAAAGCCATTATTTATTTGTACCCTTAAAAAGCAAAAAAAATTCTGTGTTCAGAGAAAGTATTTAGAATCTATGTAGAGGGGAGTGGGTAGGTAGCAAGTTGGAATCTGAGGCAAGATGGGTAAGTGATCTTGTTGTCACTTCTCACTACCTCCTTCCTGCCTCCTCGGTGCCCGGAGCCATGTTGGTTCCCAAATTAATAGGACAGATTTAGCAAACATTGCATTAACTTTGTTGTGTCAATGAGGGAGGGTCCCAAAGGCATCAAAGTCAGTAAGTGGCTGCCAAAAATCTCAGAATATACTATGACAAGGACATTTCTGCTTCATCTGTCATCTCCCCTGCCTATCTGACCTCTCTTGGTACATGATACATTACGTATTTTTTGCTTATTTTTTTAAGCCCCAGTAGGAACTTCATATTTTGACATGGAAACTTGGCCTTTTCTTAAAGAAACAGATAAATTTTGATGCAATTTGGAAAAATGAAATGCATTTTTAATTTAATCTGCTGTCCTGCTAGTATCCTTCTCATATGTCTGCCAATTCACCTTCTTTCTAACACAGAACACATCTGTCTACCTGAGTCTACCTTAGCTGTGACATCAATATAGTATAATAATTTTGACTTATAAGAAGTGACTCTCAAGGAATTTCTTAATACTATGAAACTCATTTTATTTTATAGTCTAGTAAATTTAAAGAGTAATGAGAGAG